CGCCCTGCCAGGAAGGCAACCCCCGGGAACCCTCCAGGTGAGCCGGCAGCGGCCGCCTGCTCCCACACAGGCGGGGGCGGAGGGAGGAGGGGGGAAGAAAAAAAAAATTATGTAGTACCATCCGCACCCAGAGCGTTTAGCAACCTTGTGTTAACAGCAACATTCGATTTAAATCGCCGAAATCTGGTTTTGCGGGCCTGCCCCCCGCGATCCCGGTAACCTCGAGCCGGGTGCGATGCGCCGCTGCCAGCTCCGGCTGTGCGGGGCCAAGGTGCGGGTGCAAGGCGGGGAGTCGGGATCTGCGCAGCCTGCTGATGGTGAAGGCAGCACACCCCGGCGGGATGAGCCGTCCGGGTCGGAAGAAAATTTTTAGCCGAGCCTCGTGAGGGAGCTTTTAAAGATACCGAAAACTACACAAACCTGAAATGTCTTGGAAATAGTCATTAATCAGAGCGTGTGTTAGCGAAATCTAATCTTACTCTTTTTTTTTTTTTTTTTTTTTTTTTTCCCCTTTAGCATGTATTTGCTCCCCAGTGATGCTTGTTGTTCTCAGCCCCTAAAGATACGCTGGAAAAGCGCAGTAGTTCTGAAACACGGTTGCCTGCATGCGGTCCATTTCGTAATACCGGGGTACCACAGTGCAATCTATTTATGTGGAAATTAGGACCCGCGTCTGCCTTAAATGCCTGTCTTGTCTCTGGCGAGACAGGGACAGAGGTAATTAGCTGTCCTCGGACTGCCCGGTAAGCCTTCGATGGATAAATTGCCCATTCACTCGGATGTGAATTATGCTTAACGCCCCGTCCTTTGGAATAAATGCATCATTATGAACATGTGAGGGGATCTGGAGGGAAAGTACCGTGAGCCTCACGGCTGTTTTTTTTCAAATAGCGGGTGAGCTATGCCGAGGTCTTTACCACCTCCTCAAAAGGATACACGTTGCCGGTTTGCTGCCGGGGAACATTTCCCTTCGGCTGCGGAGGCGAGGCTGGTGCGCCGAGCGTACGAAGGAGAGCGTTCACACATTGCCTTCCCCTCCATACGCCTATGTGACAGGTTATTGCCGCTCCGTTGGTGCTGGACAGAGAGCATAACCAATGTAAAAATGAGTACCCAAACCAGGTTATCCCGTTGACGGAGAAGGACGAGGTGGAGAAGGACGAGGTCTTCAGAAGCACAGACGTGTGGCTCACCCCCGCTCCCGTGCTCACCTTCCGCAGCCCAAACGAGCAGCGTCCCACAGCCCGGTGGGGTGGCCCGACACTTCCGCCTGGCACAGCCGTCCCCATGAGGAGAACCTCCCTTTGCCACGCTGGCTGTCAGGCTGTGCTGTGCCAGGAGCTCTTACTTATTTATAGCTCCCATTCCAGCGAGGATAGTGGCTTCTCGCTCAAGCGCAGGCTTGCTCAGACCCTGACTCCTGTCTCAAGGTGGGTCAGTTGCACCAACAGAGTTTGTCTCAAGCTCGTCTGTCCAACACTAAACTGAGCCCGCTGCATAGGGAAATGCCCTGCCCCTTCCTGGGGTGAGGGGAAGGCAGGACCTCTCGTGGTGAGCGGTGAGGCTCAGGCACTTGCATGTCTTCAGCTTTTTCCATCTCAGTTGGGCAGGGGTGGTCATCAGCACATTTTGGGAACCTTTGCTTGCTTCTTACAGCTTCTTTATATAGTTGGGCTGATCACCAGGCGCTTAGGAAACCAAGCACATACTTGTATTGGTTTCTGCGGGCAGTCTTTCGCATCTGTGTGTTCAGAAGTGCTGCCCTGTGCAGTTAAAGCAGGCTCTGTCAGCCACAGCTTGGACAACGACCCTTTCCCTGGGCATGGATGCTTCCCAGGGAGATCACCATTGCATGGTGGGAGGGTGTCCAGCAGCACAGCGTCCCTGGGAAAGGACTGTGAACAATCTCAAGCAAACCTGTTGGTCCCTCGTGCATGAACTGTGAAAACTGTCAACCTCTTGTCATCTTGTCTTCTCCTTTCTGACAAGCAGTCCCATTTCAAAGGTTTCCATACTCTGGCCAGGCATCACCAATGTGCCCAGAGTCTTGGGGCATCTCCATTTTTGAGTGTCCATCTGGAGGCAGAGTGGTCAAGGGTCTTGGTTTTGGCCCCGTACTCAGCTTTTGCCCTTCTTAGTTTAGCACACAAAAAGCAAGGTACCTGAAACAAGCACTGAGCAAGGCTGTGGAGTCTCCATCCTCAGAATTATTCAAAACTCAGCTGAGCAGGGATACGAGTGACCTGCTTTATATTTTAGGTCTCTCCTGCTTTGAAAAGGTAGTTGGACCAGGTGCCTTCCAGAGGTCCTCTCCAAACCAGATTTTTCTAGATTCTGTGTTCTAAATAGGCCAAGGCATCAGCTGTGCTCCAGGGTTTGGAGGAAAAGCCTGTGATTCTTGCTGGGGAAGGAACCAGTTTCTGCAGAGCCAGAACTGGAATGCACTGATTTATTTGAAGGCTTCCTTAACCTTCAGCCAGTAGTCATGATGGAGTAGTTCCATCAATGCCATTGGACTTGCGGAGGGAATTTTGGTCTCCCAAGTGCCTTCTGGATATTTTCAGCTCACAGTCAGTGAGATGGTGCTAGTGGGTAGTTATGATGTGAAAGTGCTGAAGTTCCTCTGAGAAAGCTGGCACCTGGGTGGTGTGTTGCTGCCTTGTAACCAGTGAGAGAGGATTCATATAGCATATCTGGTGCAGCAGAAAAAAAGACCACTGCTTCTTTTCTTGCACATGGGAGAATGAGACAGATAAGGCAGCATAAAATGCCAAGATGAGGTCACATTACTTTCTTGCAATTTTGTTCTCATGAAAAGTTGCAATTAGACCTTAATTTTAGCAGTGAAAAATGCCTTTTTTTTTTTTCCCCCTAGGATCCTGCTCTGTTCACTTTAAGAAGACCATATCCTCAAATGTCTGTAAAAGCTTTTGGCCACAGTTTTTTGTTAACTTCTCTGCCTTCTCTTCACAGACTTGAATGAGGAGCGGTTGGGTGATGCCAGCGGAGCAGACAATGCCGAGACCTACAGTGACAAAGACACAGACCAAAGGAGTTCCCCAGACATGACTAAAGCAAAAAGTTGCTTCACCCCTGAAAGCCCTGAAATTGTTTCAGTGGATGAGGTTGGTTATGCAGTTCAGAAAAATGGTGGGAGCACAGAGAGCCGTCCAGACAGCCCCAAGTACCACCCAGAACAGAACCACCTCCTGATAGAAGGTCCTTCTGGGACAGTTTCTTTACCTTTCAGTTTGAAAGCCAACAGACCTCCGCTTGAAGTCTTGAAAAAGATCTTTCCTACCCAAAAGCCAACTGTGCTGGAGCTGATCCTGAAGGGGTGTGGCGGTGATCTGGTGAGTGCTGTAGAGGTTCTCCTGTCCAGTCGGTCTTCGGTGGTTAGTGGGGAGAGAACTTCTGCAGAATCTGATGGTCTTGTTTTGCCTTCCAATGGGCACATTTTTGAACACACACTGAGTTCATACCCTATTTCCTCTTCCAAGTGGTCCGTGGGCTCAGCATTTAGGGTTCCCGACACACTGAGGTTCTCTGCCGATTCTGGTAATGTCGTGCCAAACCCTCTGGCCGTACCTTTGCAGCACCCTTTCCCTCAGCCACCACGCTACCCACTGATGTTGAGGAACACTTTGGCAAGAAACCAATCCAGCCCGTTCCTGCCCAATGACGTCACCCTGTGGAACACCATGACACTGCAGCAGCAGTACCAGCTGCGGTCCCAGTATGTCAGTCCTTTCTCTAGCAACTCAGCCAGCGTTTTCCGAAGCTCGCCTGTCCTTCCTTCCCGCTCGTCAGAAGATCCTAGGATCTCAATCCCTGATGACGGGTGTCCTATTGTGTCTAAGCAGCCGATTTACACAGAAGATGAGTATGATGAAAGGTCTGATTCTTCAGACTCGAGAATACTCAACACATCTTCTTAGACTGACCTTTGACAGCTAAGTGAGACTTGCAGTGCAGCTGAACTACTGGGCCCTAAGAGGAGGGACATGTACTCTATGAAACCCTTGCAACTGTATTAAAAAAGTGACTTTGCTTGGTATTGTACTATAGCAATAAAGACATAACTTATTTGATTTCTTGCACTTCACTGGATAATGCCAAATAGCAATACTCTGGCTTTAGTGCTGAGTGTGTGTTACAAAGGAAGACTTTACGGCTATCGGTTATGGGACTCTGGAAGACTCATAATGGAAACAGAAGCCGAAGGTCTGCTTTGTTCCTTAACTCATAAAAATGGGGATGTTAAACTAGAATACTTGAATGCTGTTTTATAAGAGAGAACTCCTCAGGACATAAGAAATCAGACAGACGTAGTTCAATTGCAAATGGACTAAAACAAGGACCTTAACAATCTTATGCCAGTGATCATCCTTGCAGTGAAAGAAAAGGCAGAAGAGAGAAATACGCACCTGAAACTAGCATGAGCTGCTGCTGTGCCGTCTGAGCTCGAACACTTTTCAGAGAAATAATATTAAGAGTTATTCTTTTCCCATGTCTAGGTCGAAATGTGTAATGTCAGTGTAAAACCAATTACAGCTGTGAATTGCATGAAGTGTATTGTGAAATGAACACAAGATTAAACATTGTCAGGTTAATGTAGCATGCTAAGGACTCTAGAAAAATAAACTGAGATGATGATCTTGGTTTATGTCATTTATACTGGGCAAATAACATTTCTAAAGATAGAGAGCTGATTAATCCTCAAGCCGGGGTTAAAATGTCCAGCTCCAGCAACTGCAGTCAAGGGAAGCCTCTTTTTCCAAGGCCAGGTTGCACTTCCCTGCCTTGTAGCTTGCAACAGAGATCAGGAAAGTGCTGTCATTAGGGAGGCTGAGGTCTCCTGAGTGTGTACTGCAGACTCGTCCAAGCTCAGCTGAGTAAAGCAGAGCTTGCTACAGTCACAGCAAGCAGAAAAAAAGGCTCTCCCAGTGCTTTAGAAGCGTCTTTTTTCTTATACTGTAGAAGTAGAAAAAAGGAGATAGGACGTAATAGCAGGCATTTCTTTAAAATAATGTTTAGCCAAACGGCAACTTCCCGAAATCTAGAAAAGTAGTGGTTTGAACAATTTATTGCATGTTTGCATGCATTGATTACACTGCATATCTTACATGTGTCAGAGTAACATTAGGAATTGCTTCTGATGAGGAATGCCAGTAAACTAACTGTCCGCTTACCTAGAAGTTTGTTAAGATTGTAGTGCCATTTTTTTCAACTGTTCACAAGTGACTGCATCTGCTTGATGGTTGGCTTTTCCAAAACGCACCTCTGAATGCAGATGGAATGGCTGTCAGGCCTGTCAGGTGCACGGATTAGTCCCACACCTCAAAAACAATTGAGGCTGCCCTGAAGTGGGACTGTAAAGCAGATGGACTTTAAAAATGTAATATATATCAGGCGTGTTAACTGGTGTCATTGCTGATACGAATGCCTATGTTCTCGTCTGGCATTTCATATTTTGTAAGGCTTGTGCACCCAGTGAATCTTGCATTTTATAAGCATACTGAACATGCACAAAAAGGAGAATAAAATAAATAATTATTTTGTTTTCCTTAGGGGATAAATGAACAGAAAGATACTGTTTCTTGCATAATTTTCCAACCTGTTCAGAAAAGCCATTTGTTGATAATGCTAGAAAGCAAAGACGTGAGGGCGGGGGGAGAGAGGAAAGAAAATAAATAGCTTCCCTTATGGAAGTGTAAATGTGAAAACATCTGGAATTTTCATAAATGCAGAATTACAGCTTTGTACTGGCAGATTTGCCTGTACTCACATGGCACTTGTAAACAAATTCATCTTCCAGCCACTCCAGGGAGAATAGTAATAGGCAAAATAGACTTGATCTTGCAAACGGAAAGGGATGAGGTAGTGAAATGCTGTGCTCTCACATCATGGAGAAATTAAGTGCTCAAAGGCTAGATAAGAGCAGAGGGGTCCAGGAACTCTGATTTTGAGCTCATGCACCAAACAGATTTCCCTCCAGCAGGACCTTTATATAGGCATCCCTGTGCACTGAATGAGATGTGGTTTTTTCTTTTTTTTCTTTTTTTTTTTTTTTTTTTGCCACAGAGGCCAAATCATCTCCAGCAGAAAGCCCAGACAGTGGCGCCTGTGACAGCTCATAGCAAACTTACACACTGTGGTTTTTCAGAAAACGGAGTTTTGGCATCTTGGAATTGGGACACATCTTTCAAAGAGAGGTGACCCATGGCTAAACTGGAGTGAACTATTATCACTCTAAACACTTGCAGTGAAAAATGCAGATTTGGTGGTATGATTTTTTTATTAGATCTCTTTTGATAAAGTTTTTTTTCCTGAAAAAGCAACCATGTTAAAATAACCCTTGCCTGGTGTTATAAAATATCTTTTGACTCAATTTGCAACTATATTTTGGGTTTTTTTTTCAAATAAAGTAAACCTAAATGTGTTCAAAATCAGAAACGCAAGTTTTGATGTTGAACGACCTTTTTTTTGCTTGACCACACAACATTTTGGCTAATCCAGAAGATTATTTTTTTGAAAGACATGGACTGGCCTGCAACAATTATCTTTGAGAAATTACTTTCTCCACCCAGCTGTATTTTGCAGGCTGGTACTAGAGGCAAAATACAGTTTGTAACTTGCTGGGCACCACGCAGTGGAATTGGCGGGACCTCCTGCCCACGCAGGGCTGGCACCCCTTCCTCAAACCTCTCCCCAGCTGGCGGGAGATGCCCAC